TATGTGCTGTCATTGTCGAAATCTTGGACTGAACAGATGTGGACAAAAATTGGTAATCTTTATCAACGTGATTCAACTTAAACGGGTCGCTAAGGCAAATTGTGCATGAAGTCAAAATGAATTTTTTATTTTTTTTAAAGCATGTATCCAATCAGAACCTACCATATTCCCGCGTCAGCCTCAAAAGTATAAGGACTGTCACTGCAGACGGCCGTATAGAAATCTTAGGAATTTGTCAAATCCGTTTGAATTTAAAACTTTAGAGTATGCCTAAAAACCTTGCACGTCTACAAATTGATCATTTTTGTGCAAAAATGAAAGCTCAGGCTGGATAGTAAGCACCAGTAAACCAATACTTTACAGCTTTAATTGTATATTTACAATCCTTTTCAGGCTGAATACGTGGTTTTGCTGTCATCTGATGTTGGCTTTTCTGACCACTTTGTGTGTGGGTGTGTGTGTGTGTGTCTTTTCTCATTGGTAGTCTGCACCCCCAATATCCCACATATTGAGAACTGATGGAAAAGTCTTTGACCAGTAGGTGGGGAAATGCTACCAGGAACAAACCCTTTCAGAGTGACGCTGACTGAGGTACGCCTCGTCCTCCCTCAGCACCACGTCGCAACAGTGCATCCAGTATTTACCTCTGGCTGATATACTCTACACACTCTGTGCTCTGCAGCAAGCGCAGCCATAATGGAGTCATTAAAAGATAAAGGTTGAGCAAAGGCTGAAATCCAAAGCCAAGAAACGCAGCGGCTAGCTGTGTGTGGCTGCAATGTGAACTAGGGAAGGTTAAAACAATTACATCGTTGTTACAATGTAATGCGTTATGACAACATGTTACAATATTATCTCTTCAAAAACTTACCTGGAGTGTTGCTTTTATTCTTTCTTGCACGTGTTCAGAAATCCAAGCTTCCGCTCCACTGCTCCTGCACCCAGCTCCTTCAGACTAGCCAGAAGCAATTAGCAAGACACCTGCTGAGCTCATTATATGAGCCACTCCTCAGTCGAAGGCTTAACAGAGGAGCGATGTTGTGGCGACGTGCTAAAGACGGAGCGTCGGAAAGAGAATGAGCTTCTTAAAGGGACAGAGACCCAATTTCAAGGCGTTAATTTCATTCTGCCCTTTAAACAATTAACATTTACTAACGAGAGATGGCCCCCAGTTATTTGAGAAAGTTCCAGAAGTCATCTTGATTTAAAAGTCAATAATCCAATCAATTAGAAAGTGCATAACGAATTAAACAACCTCTAAGCTTTAAGCAGTCATATGAATAGATAGCACTGTAGTTCATAAATGTAGGTGTATTTTTCCCTCTGGGAAGGATGCTTGCTACAACCACTGATAGGTAACGGTAGGCGGGTCGATCGCATGAGATTTTGTGCCACGTTCTAAACTTGGAAGGAGCCGTTTGAGACGGTGGAGAAGGGGAGTGGGAAGCCTGGAGGGTGAAAGATTGAGAGGATGTCCTGTTTGGGTCATGCGCCTCAGAGCTTTTTACTGTGGGAATCTGTATGTGCGTGAGTGTGTGTACGATCTAGTGTGTGGTCTGGTTTAGCTACTTGTGAGAACTGCCTTTAGGAGGCTTGATGCTCTTGTAAGGAGATCTGGGGCAATTTGCAGGAACCGGTGGACGGGGCTGTCGTGGTCGAGCCCCAAGCGTTTCCCTTGAAACTCCTCCGCTAGAAAGTGATGCGCGCCGCCGCCGTGTCTTCCCAGAAGCCGCCTGCTGTCAGCGCATCTATTCCGAGTTTGTTTGCTTTGAGTGGGTGGAGAGAAGCCTCCCAGCTCTCGGGCCTCCAAAGGAAAACATTAACATTCGACAACTTTGTCGTCAGTTATGAGAGCGAGGCATGATACATTGACCCCGCGGCGAGGACTCACATGGCGCGTCTTAGATGGAAGCTGCAATTTGTGGGCACGCCAAGATCAAGGCAGAAAACAAGTTTTTTTTTAAAAAAAAACAACAACAACATGTCTTGAGTTTAAAGCTGAAGTTGGAGTCAAACACGTTTTAACTATGAGTTCACGTCACAGGTCCGCAGAAGTTGTCATGATTTCAGAAATTGTAGTTTTTCTTCAGCAGGTTAATAACTTCATGAGCGCAGTTTTTGATGCATGTTTAACGAGGATTTATAAAGGATTTATGCACCAATAACTGGAGGTTGAAATAACATTAAAGGGAATTTTAACTGATCTGAGAGAAATGCACCGAAGCAACAGAGACAAACTGTCAAGTTTCCACAGTGAGGCCCATCAATGTGCAGCAGCTATCTGATAAAAAACCCATAAACTGTTTAGAGGGTGGAAGTGAGTTTTATGCTAAATAGCATAAATATTACTTTATTATATTATGTATAAGCTTTGAGCCTAAAATGGATCACCTGCTTCTTGTCGGCTACAAAACCCTAATCTGAAAGAAAACAATCAAATCTGATCGAGCCAAAAACAAAAGCAGAGCAGAGGTTCTTATTTGACATCAATTTGTAAAAGAAAAAAATTGAGAGAATTGAAACCATTTTAAAAATTGTCGGTTCGGGTCCAGCTCGGCCGCAGCTGCTAGAAACCACCAGACGGATCTGGTTTTAAGTCGCTATTTTTATTTAAGGGCGCTCTCGGCACTAACAATGGCAGAAATCCACACGGGCCTTGAAAAAAAAGTGCTTCTTTGTGCGCCACCAGCATCTTATCCATCACAAAAGAGCAGGTCTGCATGGGACGCCTGGCACTCTCACACTTCCTGCACTGGTTTTTTGGTCAAAACCGCTGGGTCAACCCACTTCCCTGTATTCTTCTGTCAACTCTGGGAAAAAGTTTTAATATCCTTCCTGTGAGCAAGACGCTGGCCTGCCTGAGCTCCGCGAGCGGCCATCCTCGCGGATAATGGCGCGGCGCTGCGTCTCGTTCGGCACGGAGTGACCTTTTTGTCTCCTTTGTCTTGCGTCTCTGCCTTCTCTTGCTTCGCAGCGAAGGAGAAACAGAAGAGTCCTTGCATCGTCTCCTGCTACCGCAGAGAAGACATGTTGCCTGATATCGTAGCGTTTGTTTATTTGGCAGCGGCCGTGCGACTGTTTGGTGCTGCGGCGAGTTTGCCGCTGCCAGCTTCGTGCCCCGTCGGACGAGTTGACGGCAATGTCAACACCATTGAGCGTCGCCCCAGCGACAGGCATTGTTTGACCCCCCCCTCCCGGAGTTTATTTATACGATGCGGAGATAAGATTGAAAATTGCTTGCTTGATGTCCTCTGCATTGTTCCAAACGTTTACACAGACAGATAGAACATCAGTTGCGGATTCATTGCCACGGCTGTTTGCAGAGGCTGAGATAATACTGTTGTCCTGACAAAAAATAAATAAAAAATGTCCAAAGATCTGGATGCACACACACGCCTAATACAAGTGTAAACTTTCCCAGGGTTCTGAATCAATGGGAAAATGGACGTTTTTGTGTTGTGTTTAAATACGATATTTCAATTCGGTGCATGTTGACCCATCTGGGTTCATGGGAATCGGAGGAGGTTGATAATTGACTTTTTAGTCCATCTGCCTTTTCTCTCTGTATCTTTTCTAGTTATTCTTGATATATAAGCGGCTATAAGTGGATTTAACTGGTTAGTATGACTGCAAAAGTGCTATTTAGTCAGTCCGTTTCCCAATACACGTAATTGTTTTTAACGGTTATATATTATCGGTATCATAATATTACAAAAATCACCGTTGCAGGCCTGAAGATGTCGCAATGTTTCTTTCTTTTTTTTCAAAAAGAGCAGAAATTACAGGAGCCACAATAAACTCCACAAACCTGACTTTTGTGGACAGGGATGATGAAAATTAAACGTGAAATGATTTGAAAACACAGAATCAACACAACAACTCACCCTGAAAACATCATACCATTAATGAAGCCTGGCGGTGGCAGAACCAGGATGTCAGGATTTATGGCGCACTTCAAGTTCAGACAGAAATCTAATTGATAATTTGATGCGACAACATGCTTGATAGGCATGTGAACACTTTTAAAAGCGCCGTCGCTGTTCTGCGCAGTCAAAAGTAAATCATCATCTACAATAACTCAAGACAATCCGAGACAGACTGTCTTGGTAACACTTTATTTTATCATGAACATGAAGGAGTCTTTCTAAATGTTTATGATTGTTGTCATGAAGTGTCATTCGGTAAATAATGACTTAAAAGTGTCTTTATTTACCAAAGACTTCATCAAGCTAAAGGAGTTTTGTTTATGACCAAATCAAGATGGTGACTGTTCTCAATGTTCTCAACGTGCCTGAATGTATTGACAGAAAGCATTAACAAACTGTTAAAGTTAAAACATTACTGTCTCCGCATTCAATAAGTACCTCTTAAAATTCAATAATATTGAACATCTTTTCACATTGGTCAGTCCATTTCAGATGTTTTTTTTGTTTTTGTTTCAAAATCACAGATTTTAGAAATATTTCCAATATTTGCAGATGTATGACATTAACTTGACATCAAGTTTTTACGCTTTTACTACAGTGTAGTAAAATACTTTTTTAAATACTGCCACCTGCAGGTGGGAGTTAGCACTTACACCCAATGCGTCGGACCATATCTGTGTAAAATGATGGATTAGCATGAAAAAATAAATCTGTTGGCTTTGCATAAATTACCACAATCTTAGAATCACAAACAGCTCGCTTCACAGAGATGAAACGCAGAATAAACCATCTTCGGTTTCTGCAAACAGCGCTCTGCAGCACCAGCCTGAAGGTAAAGTTCTAGCTAGTCTGTGTCCAGGATGTGTGGGGTCTGCAGAGACGCTAGCTGCCGGTTCCTGGCCCGACACAAACACGTCTTGCAATATGATTATCTCATTAAAGGTCTTCGGCAGGAAGCAAAGAAAGTGTCAATTATTTGTACCGGTAGTTCAACATTAATCAGGATGCAACGTTTAAAAAAACACGTGTCTGAAAACAAATGAACTGCAAAATGAAATGAGACACACCACTATGTGAGTTTCTTTCTCATTTATTTAGAAAAGACAACATTTCATGGGGAGGATTTGTATGTTTTTTTCACCCCTTCCTGATCCGTTTCCGCCCGCGGCTCTAACACTCACTACTGTACCCTGGACTCTTATCTTCCCATTCGAAGGGCTTCATGCAAAGCTGGTCAAAGGCAAATCAGTAATCAGATTTCATGCATTGTGTGAAAACTTATGAAAAAGAAAAGGTCACCAAAAGCACATTTTAAGCATTAATAAACATTAAGTTATATAAGATATAAATAGATAATATCACACCTCAAGAACTGAGTTAGAAAAATGTTAATATTTCTCATCTCATTACAGGCAACATCTACAGCTAAATATATAGTTTGTTTCACAATCTTCCTAGTCTAAGATTCTTTTGGGGATTTTGCACTTAAAAATTCCTTCATGTCAATTAAGTAACTCAGAAAGATTTATTCCCTTGTGAAATATCCCAAAAATGTGTTTTGAGTGGAGAAATTATGGCGAATGCCACAGCATTGTTATGGCCTTTGAAATAGTTTGGTTTCCTTGGGTTTTGAAGAAGTAACAGCATCAAAATTCAATTAGAAAAATTCGAGCATCATCTCCAGATATCAGGCTCACACATAACATCAGAAACTGAGTTTCTTTAAATCGGTTTTGGAAAGATGATTTTTCAAAAACACTTGGTTGTGTTTCTGAGCACAAACCAAGCGGAAAATTGATTCCTTTGCAAAATAAATGTGTGGATTTGAACAGCGACTCTGAGACGGAGGTTTCTATCTGAGTTTGTGCGATCAGAAACCAAATGTCTTTGCCTGGTTCATCGTGTCCCATCAAAACCAGCTGACTTTCTGCTTTTAGTCATGCCAAGCGTGCATGTCCAGTGTACAATTTAGTGTTGGAAATGCTCGATGGTTTCAAAACAAGTATAAATGGTGTCTGTTCAAAGCTCCAGAAGCTGAACTTACTAAAAGAGAGTGATCCTTCTTTGATGAAAAAGGAAGAAAAGTGCCTAGCTCATGCTACATTTCACTTAAAGTTAGAAGTGTGCATTTACAAACTCTTAGTAACACAAAAATACACATAAATGTTGGATTCCCAGTTTGAAAGGTGAGATACATCTAAGTCAAAATTCCACATTGGCTCTCTTAATACTAATAACAAGGTTATATTTGAAGTTATCGACTCATAAAAATCTGCAGCTAAAAACATACTATTGCTCAAACCCTTGTTTAGTTTGTGAGACCAAATTCAGTGTGATTTATCTTTTGCTAATCTAAACGAGCAATGAACAAATCCTGCTGGAACATGGTTAGCTTGTAGTAGAGTGGATAAGATTTAAAAAAAAAAAAAGTCAATTTCAGACATTAAATCAAAGCTCTCTGCTCTGGACGATGGCTCAAAGATGATGGCGCAAGAGTCACGGATGACTTCGTTTCAGAGTTATTTGGGTCTGCAAAGGCTCCGTTCTTGTGGTAAACCAACAGTGTGCATCTCTTGTCTGAGTAACAGTGGAAAAGCAATAAGGATACAGTAGACAGCACAGACAGATTTTGGCCTCTATTGATAACTCATCTTTGTCAGTACTAGTATTTCAACAGCAAGATCTTATACGTTATACTGCAATGGGGATCAGTCCAACTCAAAATTCAAGTCTCAAAATACATAAATCGCAGTGTTTTCCTTGTTTTTGTGACATTTACTCTTTCCAGTGGTGAAGATCCATTCAGTCATTTAGCAAGACTAAACATCACATTCCTTGGAACAGTATAAATCCCAACTTTGGCCTCCTTCCAGGCGTATCATACAGTGTGACGATGGAATATTTAAATACAACTTCCTCTGCGACCAAGATTTCCCATCGGTGTAGAGGTCGGTCACTGGCGCGGTGGATGCTTCGGCACTCAGCGGCGCTGCAGTGCTCCGGCAGGAACCTCCAGGGTCAGAAGTCTGCGTCCAAGAGATTTCAAGAATGTAGCACAGAATGGTCCTAGGCAAATCAACCCAGTGAGTGAGGGTCGATCGAGACAACCCACATCCTTGTCACCTCGGAGGAGTTCAGTTATTTAAAGTCGAAAGCCTCAAGGAAACTGGTTGGGTGAGCTTGAAGACAGATGACACAGAAACAGCTAGCTTAATAGTGACATTTGGTTAAAAAAGAAAGAAAAAAAATGAAAGAACTACAAGGAAAAGAAAGAATCTCTCTAAATCTCATCAAGTGAGCACCATGGTGGCTTTAAGACAACATTTTCAAACAAGATTGTTTGTTTTCTTAAATCTTGTTAAGCATTTGGTAAGGACATACCAAATGCATGGAGTCAAAATAGTTTTCGTCAAACGCGTCAAACATTCACGTGCTCCGATTTCTTCCACAGGCAAGTCAACAAGTCACATCTCTTCCAAATCCAAGTCAAGGCTCAAGTCTTCAAGAGACGAGTCTAAAGACTATTACTCTAAAAATGAGTCTCTGAAGGCAAGTTCATTTCAGTTCTCAAGTGAACCATTTTAGGGACAAGTCTGAGGCTTTTGCTCCAAAACCAAGTCAGATGTCAAGTCTTTGAGGGAAAGTCCAATTTAAGTTGAAATGCTTTTTTTTTTGCCCCAATTCAAATCGCCACTTTCAACCAAAGTCAAGTTGAGGGTCACGTCCAAGTCTCAATGAGCTTTAGTCTGTTTTCACATTGGACACATACTAACTTTCAACACAGGTTAGAAATTCAAATTCTTGTCTCTCATCCCATTTATCACACAATCTGGTTTAACACCTTTATGTTTTCAGGAGACTGAATTCAACGCTGGAGAAATGACTCCACCCAATAAATTTGAACATCTATGAACAGAAAATATGCATTTATGTTGAACAAGGACGAGTAAAAAATAGATGAACAAATTTCTTATGAATGAAAGGCTTTTGTATTGTAAAACTAGATTAGGGATTCATTTGGAAAATGCCCTCAACTCCTTTGACTGGAGCAAAAGTTTCAACTTTACAGAGAAACACACGAGCCATTGGTACACAGTACAATGCCTCCGAGGGGACAAGATCTACCATTTAATACATACAAGCTTTTCATCACCCCTGGTAACAAGAGATTAAGTTAGTTTACTGTGCTATTAATGGACCTTTCAATCCCCCCCAAAAATATATTTTACAAATTGAAGAGATTTGGTCCGTAGTTTGAGTTTTTTCCTCTCCATCATGTCCTACGCCAGGAGGTCGCTCCTTTTGCTGCACCAGACCACGAGAGCAATCATGGCCAGGGTGAGGAAAACCGGTATGAGGATGAGGACGGTGAGCGTGTCGTCCGGCGGGTCCATCCATATCACCTCCTCCATGGTGCAGTTGGAGAAAAGGTGCTTGTGTATGCGGATGATGTAGCTCTCTACCAGCGGGTTGGGCCAGTAGCAGTCGACGTTGTGGGACTTGGTCTCTGTGCAGAGCGTGAAGAGGTGATACTCGCTGCGGAGAGACAGCGCGAGAAAAAAAAAAAAAAAGCAAAAACAGACGATTAAAGCAAAACCTCTCAAAAGCACACAGTTGCAGAATAAGGGTGAGTTTATGCAGGCTTAAAATTGTGGAGCTGGCCTTTAAATCTCACTTTTGTTTAGCTAGAACTAACCTCATCCTCTGGGATTTAGTAAGTAATCCATCTTTGTGACCAGGAACATGTTGCTATTTATTCCCTTTTTTTTTTTTGCACCACTAGCCTTCTTTTCTGCAGCGTTAATCGGAGGCGCCCTGAAGCCTTTCAAGCTCAGAGCTCAGCTTTGATAAATTACAGCCAGCCAGACCCAATCCTTCTTCTTTTCCAGTTTGAATTCTTCATCCTCCAACTCCAGCTTTTTTTCTCCTCAGAGCATCGAGGAGCTGATGTTTTCTCCGTTAGACCGAAAGCAGCAGTTTTAGGATCTCGAGATAAGACGCCCCATCTCCGTCACTTGGATCGGCTCAAAGCCAGAGTTTCTGAGATATTTATAAAACTCTGACATCTGTGAGCCGTCACATGAAGGAGTCATGGCAAAGAAAAAATAGGAACAGTTTGGTGTTTCAGGGATGAAATGCTTCTTTGAGGTCTCTTTTGTCTTTGTCTAGCAAACAAACAACGCTGGTCATTGTTGCAACAGTGCAATTCAATAAATATTATCCACTAATAACTCTACGTGATAACCACTTTTGCATCTTCAGACGTGTGATAGTGGCGTCATAGTGTTTTGTAGAACACCGGCTGCTCTCTTGCATTTGGTGGTGTCAGAGTAAAGGAGGCTGGACATACATATATGCAGCTCACGTTTTTTTTTCCGCCTCTTGTTTGTGAAGGTTTTCGATCATTTTATGCACCGTTCGCTGTGTGAGTGAATAAATACAAGTATTAAATATTTATGGAAACTCTTGGCAGATCCAACAGTTCATTGTTTTAGTCATTTACATTCATATGGTGAAAGTTGTTTAAGCTCCATGCAAAATGTCTGTCACAGTTCCAGTTTGTCTTGTACTTTATATTTTTTATTACTGCTCCCACTGTACATATGGGCAGGTTGAGCCATTTCCTGACATATAAATATTAATATGAAGAATATGTGACTCTATAGAAGTGCTTAATGTTCATATTTATAAATTGAGTGACTCTGTTCAACTCTAAAAATAGAAGCTTTAAAAAAAAAAGGTCTCGGTTTACAGGCGCTCTCCCGGTTTGTAAATAACAACACTAATAGAAACCATGAGCCATAACCCTGAAGCTGAAGCTAAATGTATTAGTCTAAACTAATACATTTAGACTGCTGTCCTCTATATGACCTATAAATTCGGCTCCGACGTCAAACTGCGGCCCCTGTTTCCACTGCATCAGATGGACCTGAATCTCTTGGACGTAATATAACAAGTTTATGTTTGCATGAAGTCATCAGTCGTAAAACTAGAAGCTGCCAATCTGGAGATGGATGTGGCTGTTTAGATGCCTAATCTGTCATGTCCAGCCAGTTTAATCACATTAACTGATGCCATTTGTGTCACTTAGAGACTCGGTGTGTGTGCTTGACAGGCAGATGAAACTGAAAAAGACGGACAGAAAAAACACGCCGAGGTTTCTGTTGTGGATCAAATTGCAACAGCATGCCACACGGTCGGGACCCACTGACTTTAAGTTATTCCCCAAATGTATTATTATGTAACGCATTCAGAACGCCATGCAATAGTCACCCGGGAGGAGAAAACAACTGATTTACACACGATATGCAGGTTCGCCGCACACCAGGATACAAAATCAAATTCGTCTGTACTCTCTACACAAATTAAGAGTTTGTTCATGGATTCATTCTCTGTCTGCTTTCGTAAACAGTATAATTTAAACATGGATTATTTATTCTGTTTTTTTAATAAAACATGTTTAAAACTACTTATGTTGCACCAAGCGGCTGCTCCAAAAAGTAGCAGTAAAACATCAACCTAAATCTGAGTAAATCGTGAAAATGAAGTCACTTCTTTGAATAGACTTGGTTAAACGTTTCATTTGCTAAATATATATGTCATGCTGAGGTCTCTCCAGAAAAAGAGATTTATACTTTGATATAAATGGGTAAAAAAGAAATCAAGCTAAAAAAAAAAAAAAGCAATGTAGAGGTTTGGGATCTTATAAATCCTTAGTGGTTTCAAATTAGTCAATAACGTATTAAAAAACTAAACATGCCCCTAAAGTCTGCAGGACCTTTATGATTGTTTACATGTCATCAATGCTGAACTATATATGCAACTTCTGCCTAGGGGTGTTTCTTTACGACCTTTCAGTGGTTTCTGCCTCTTCACAATCAGTTTCAGCTTCACTGCATCTGTATTTTTTCAATCAGCTGTCCCACACAGCTTTACTGCGGGCAACGCTTTCCTCCATCTCCCTGCACGTTTACATACAAACGTGGGACGACGCCGTGTCTTCTCCTCCCAATATCCTGAGCTGATCACACACTCCGAGTCCTAAATTAGATTACTCTTTAGTCACGCTGCTATATTGTATTCCCAAAATGATATTATATTCCTTACGAGCTGCTCCTCGCACTTTTTTTCCCCAGACTCCAGCCTGACAAATATATTTTGCATTTAGACAGCAGCATGGAAAACAATTTCCTTCCGTCTCCCAGCAACCGGCAGCTGTGCATGCTTCTCCCCCCAGCTGGGAGCGTGTTTCCATGAGGAGGTCAGTGTGCGACGAGTCTAAGTGCAGGGAACCTAATTGTTGCATGGAGGATGTGGACACCAGTTGTTGTGCCAAATGCAACACAATAAAATGCCTGACTCGCCGCGGTTCGATCGGCATGACGCCAGCAGGACGAGCTGCTTTTCTAAGTCAGTGTTGACAAATCTCCACCAGTGGGCACAGGCCATGCTTCTAGAAACTCTGCAGAGACCAGTCAGATTTTGAATGCCGTGTTGTGGTCCTTCACGAATTCACGAAGGCAACCTACATTGTTCCAAAGACTCACAGCAAATATCTGTTTTCCAATTTGGTTGTTAGAATAGCTAAGATTTTCTTTCCGGTAGTCCAAAGTACGCTTCAGACTAATAATGCTCAGTAGAAACAAACTGTAAATCCTGTATCTCCCTTGTGTCTTGCTGAGAACAGGCTACATTTTTTGTAGTCAAAGCTGCTCAGTGTACAGTTTCCCTCAGGGGCACAGAGAAAAATTATTGCCAGAGGAATAAATGACTTTTGAACAATGATAGTCCTTGAGGCTGAGGCACAGGGGGGTTTCTGCTCCGTTTGTCGTGATGAAAGTTCAGATCAATAGTCCATTTTCTGCTTCATATTATTTAAAAGCAGGACCCACTACTTTAAAAGGCACACTAGTTCAATTGTAATCTAAATAGAGAATCAGCCAATCGGAGAAGATCGATTAATTGCATTTAGACCTGAATAAAACTTGCTGAAGTTCACACTGAAGATCCAAAAGAAAAATTACTCCGAACTAGCAAGGCACACCTAAAATAAGAGGTTAGTGTGTTTATTTCAGAAGACGTAAAGATATTATAGTCACAGTCTTCTCTTCTGTAGTTGTGTCATATAAATGTATTATTTCAGATTACTCAAAGATATCTGGTTCTTTTTTTAGCTTACACAAGGGCAAACAAACCAGGATTATCAATTTGCTGTTCAGATACTAGCTTTTTTTTTTTTTTTTGACCCAACAACAACTTTAGAAAGTTGTAATGACTTCGGAGGTGTGTTGGTTCCCACCTGGACCTCCAACAGTTCATCTGTGTTGAAGAGTCAAGCTACGTGCGCATCATTAAGGCTCATCCTTCCACCGCTGAGAGCAAAATCAATATGAAGAGAATGAATGGAGCAAAAACAACTGTGTACACTTTGCCAGTGGCGTAGGTTCGATTTTAAACAACAGAATGAGCGTTTAGTTATCAGTGATTGCCGCTCTGTAAAACAGGGTCAAAGCTTGTTTAGACGTGACACCCTCCGCTCCCCGAGCCCCATCCTTCCACATCGCTCTCTGCCTCCATTTTCTCTTTCCATTGCTTCTTTTCTTTTAACTCCTATGTAAAAGTCCTGGCAAAGCAGTCACATTCATGTCAGTGAAGTGGGAGCAAAAGTCATGAGTCAGTGGGTTCAAATCCCAGCTGGTTCGGTCGGTTTTCTCTGGTTTCCACTAACAGTCCAGAAACGAATGTATAAGAAATGCATAAGTGACAAAGTGAAGATGTGTCCTTTAAGGTGAAGGAACATGCCTCTTCGTCCAGAAATTGCACAAACACCTAACTCATAGTCAAGAGTAAAGTTTGAGCTTAATGCTTCAGTCTAACAGGAGATCTTGGACATGTTCATGCTTCCAAATTGCAAGAAAAGCTTGGCGATCAGTAAGGAAAAGATGAATAAAAGAGTTTGACTGGGGAAATCCTGTCAAACTTTTGTCCTGGAGACAGTGAGCTAGTCCTTCTCATCCAACAACAGTGTCTGACCTCACAAATCCACTTCTAGAAAAGTGGTCAACATTTCCCATAAGCACACTACTAAACATTAGAGAACGCTTTCCTGGAAGGCTTGAAAAATTTTTAGCTGCAAGGGGAAAAGTTGATATCATGAATGTCACTGAATTTCAGGTGTGTGTCGACCCAATACTTTTGATATGTTTATTTTCTTTGACATCTCCTTGCACAATTTTGAATTTGTTGAATTTAAACAATAACTAAACAATGTTCGATCGTTTTCAGTCACACTCAAAACCTTTTCAAGTATAAATGTCAGAACCTTCTGGTGGACACACACAATAAAGACAAACGCATCTGTTTTGAAAAGCATGAAGATTGAAGAAGTGCTACTCATCAGTATAATTAAAGTAACGTAATTTCACATTTATCTTTAATAACCGACACCAGCTCGCTTAATTTGGCTTATTGAATTGATTTAATTTAAGTTTTGTTTCATAGGGGCAGACACACATCAACATAGACTAAATGAACAAAGTGCTTATAGCACAAGCTAATTTGTCCCATTCAACATTATGTTAATAGAAAGCAGGATAATAAAGTATCGATCAACCTGTTCTGCACTTTGTCTTAAAAAAGCACAACAAAATGTAAAAACATTTTCTTAACTTTTGCTCCAGGATCAAACTAATAGTCAAAAAATGTTATTTTGACTGTGGAAATCAGTAGGTTACATTATTATGGATTCATAACATTGTGTGATTTCTGTTCAAAGTTATCATACCACGAGAACTTCATGCTGACAAAATCCCAATCAATAAAATGTCAAATGTCATGTGGAACATCTGTTCACAGACAATAATAGCTTGATTATAATAAAAGATATCACATACCAATCATTCAGCCTCATTCTCAGTATTTTTTGCTTAGAGGCCTCGGTCTGAGGATACCTACCTCTGACTTATGTTATACTTTTCCACAAATTTAAATAAAACATTAGTTCTTAAAATCAATGGGATTGCAAAATACTGAGCAATCTCATGGGGGAATGTGGTGACTGTTTTGTTTTGCTTTTCTGAGAATTTACTCCCCACAAATGGAGACGATCATTTAGACGTCGGTGCATGTGCTATTGTGCAATAAACCCGGTCTCATAGCACACCGGCTCAGCTTCTGGCCCTGAGTTTGGAGTTTAGACAAAAGCATGAGAGCCAAGAGGTGAAAGGGAAGAATTAAGTTGAAAAGCCGGATAAAATAGACACAAATAGGTGGCCACGGATTGTGAAAAATAGATCCAGTTTTGGGAAGCATACCCCCCACTATTCACACACACACAGACACACACACACCTATGCACACACACACACCTATACACACACACCCCCACACGTCTTACCAGCTGCAGGAAGTAGAGTGGTTAGTCTCCTGATCGGTCAAAATTTCTCATAAAATGCCACAATGCAGAAATGTCAGCTACTTGAGGGATACGACTAAGTTCTCAAAAGAGGAATGATAATAAAGTGCTGTGAAGAAGTATTTGCTCCTGCACATAGTGCCTCGGGAAACTATTTATGTATTTTAAACTTCTTTGATTTGATTTGATTTGCAACTACAAAAAAAAGTGTTTTTGCAAATGGTGTGGTGTGAATTTGAATTCAACAATTCACCTAATTACTAAATAGAGTCCACATGTGTGTTATTTAGCCACAGTATAAGCCCAGCTGTTCTGTGAAAAAAGCCAGGAAGTACGAGGAACATAACAGGCAAGTCAGGAAGAAAGTTGTGGAGAAGTTCAAAGAAGTGTAAGGTCATAAAAACAACATCCCCCAGTTCAGCAACAAGCAGAGTTTAATAGTTTAATCCACCATCTGGAATTGGAATAGCACAACTGTACACTTACAAAAACACAACCTTACGTCTGAAATGATAGGATGAGAAAACCATTAAGCCTAAATCACAATCTGACAGAGCAAACACATGGAAGGAGGTCATGAGTTGTATTTGTCATTAGAAAAAGACAAATACAGCAACTTAATTTGGAATAATAAGACATAAGATTACATTTTGGGAATCCAGTCACATGGACAGTGTTGCACTGACTGACATCTTTTCAGGAACGCAGCGGAGGCTGAACTATGTAACTCTATCTAATTTATTCCAGGAAAGTAAGAAATTAGGTTAGACAGCAATAAATGCTTCGAAAAGCAATTAAAACCCAAGTGATTGTGTCTGTCTTAATTTAAATGTCTGCTACCTGTGAGGAAAATGAATGCATGATTATGCATAATGCATGAGGCATTTAAAGAGATGTAGAAGACTTTGGCTTTCTCCCTCAATGTCTACATTAGCATTTGGTAAAGTGACCTCTGAAGTTGACCTCTAAAACATCTGGAGCAGGTATAATGACAGGCTAGTGACAAAATAAACTGCAATGATCAATTCTTCCAGAAGAAATGTCCCAAACGGTTTTATTATCATAAACAGCAAAGCAACTTGAAACGATTCAAAATGCAAGAAAAGGAGGGTGATAGAAGGATCGCGTGTTGAAAAGTTTGAAAAAGAAGCAAGATTCAGAAAGACTTTTTTGGGCATGCAGAGCGCTAGCTGAGCCTTTCACTACAGATGTATTTACCTGTTCACAAACACCGATACACAAATCCATTGTTCCTTAAGAAACTAGAATGATGGATAAGAGCATAATCTAGTTGGAATCATTTTTTTCTTTGTCTCTCTTGACAAGCGACTGCTGAGATGTAATATCTCCATCAAAGATTCTGGATGTGGACCGAGCAAAGATTTAGACAAGCATTTACTTTCAGTGGGCAGGTTTCCCCAGATTCGTTCAACGACTCCGACCGTTCTGATTGCTGATTTTAGTCGATAGATGAGCTCTGACTTTGTGGAGATCGCTGAAGGTTTGATCAGGTTCCTTCAGCTGCTGACTGTTGTTTTACTATTACCACATGGGCCCAGTAGGAAACCCAGACATCTCTCTCTCTCCCAAACAATGTTCTCCAGTTCATTCAGGGAAATTCTAAGGAGTTCCCAGACCAGAAGGGGTACACAGTCCCATCCAGCAAGTTTTTGGAGTGGGGCGTGCCTGGAAAACATCCAAAGGTTGTTTTTCCAGTCACGTTTGCCTTGGAGACCTGGAAGGCATCCCAAGCAGAAGCCTGAACAACCTCAGCTGTCTTCTTTCAATGTGAGGGAGTATCAGCTGCTCCCAGGAGACGGAGATCTTCACCGCATGTCCAAGGCTGCGTCTGGCAACCTTAGACATGTTGAAGGTCATGACCACGAACTTGGAGGAACAGCAAACCTAAATGCATTCAAAACTTTAGCATAGTCCAATGTTGCTCATGAGTCTTACCCTTAATTTGTCTGTTGTATGGCGTTATGTGCGTCTACTTTGAGGTTGTAGTTTGAAAATGATGCCAAGACGAGAGCAGTAATTGGGTACCCTTGAATGATGCCCCACAATTTCCAGAAGAAAATCTATCCAACACTTATTGATGTATTCTGTCAAAAGCGGTGAGAAAACCCTTTCTCTTCTTGGCATAAACTTTAAATGCTGATAGGCTTTCCTTAAGAAATAAAACCACATTTGTACAATCTATTCCTTGATGCTTTAAAGCATTGGTAAATCCCAAGCTGAAGTTTGACCAGAGGTTCTTGATCCCCGTTCTGAGAGCCTCTGGTCTAGAGGCTGTACTCATTGCTGCAATTCATACCTAAATACGAGGAACCCCTTAATAATAAAGAGATTACCTAATGTCAGCTGCATAATTTCTCCTTCTGGGTAAAATGGCTAAGAAAACAAAGCGCTCATGGTAGCAGAATATTTAGTCCATTCCCCTTCCTTACTTAATCCATCAACTGTGAGGTGCGAATTATTTAGCAATTACTGATTGCTTTGAGCCACACTTTCACTTATTATAGTGTCGTTTGATGACATAAATGTCCCACAATCTATCTTCAAATGCTGTTTTTACCTCATGAAGTGTGTGAGGTTGCACCATTGCTGCGGGTCTACGTGAGCCATGTCCCGCTTGAAGTCCTCTCCGCAGATCTCCACCTCCCATCGGAGACGGGACTCGTTGCAGAGCCTCGTCTTCCAGGTAATGGCGGGCTCTAAGTTGAAAGTGTCAGAGGCTGTAAATAAATAAGAACAAGGTGAAGCGCTGATCGATGGGTGGCTGGCTGCGTGATTGGATGGATGTGCTCACCTGAGGTCCCGCTCATCATCCACATATTAACTGTAAGAAGGATAAAGCAATAGAAAACACTGTTAGGTTCTCATTTGGATTTATTCAGAAAGAGAAAAACTCTGGGCTCTTCCACCTCCACCACTTAAATCTTACTTTTGCTGTGCACTTAACCTTTATTCAAGCATTTGTCAGGTTTATTTTTGACGAACCTGCGGCTCATTTCCCAGCTGAATGTAAATGCCTCGTTGGTGCTTTTAGAAGCGGAGAGCCTAGTTTGTTTGCTTAAATGTCAACAATTAAAGGACTCATTCTGAGTGTAATTTAAACTACGCAAAGGTCACACATTGTGAAGCACTGAGGCAGTACGCTGGTTCTTTCAATTAAGCTAGTTACCTTTAATAATGTTAACGAGTCGTCTTCAGGACTTGTTTCTCATTAGAGCGTCTCACAGTCACAGTAAAATGTTTCATAATGAAAAGAGTACTTTGCATTTTGCCTTCCTCTGCAAAGATGGCTTACCTTAAATCTACTTCAGTTCAATAGAGAACCCCCACAAGATTCAAGCCTTCACATTATTATTTTCTTTATGACTAGATAAGTCATGAGAGAGCATTTAAACACAGTGTTTTAGTTATACGCAGATGACACTGTCGTTTCCTCTTCTTACTGATACTCATGATAAGTTTCATGTTCAACATTCTTCCAACAGATTGAAAGGTCAAGTCTGTACCTTCCAACATGCTTTAAATGCAGTTCTCAAAATGTTTGCTCCAGCACTGCCTGGACATTTTGTTTTCGCAAGATTGATGACAAATGCATTTTAAACAGGATGTGTTTTTAGATGTCTTTTCCTTTTTGGCTTTTATTTTTGAAAAAAGGTCCAGAATCATTTCCAACACTAAACTGATTTTTTTTTTTTAAATCTACCTTTTGCTCGTTTCCAGCTTTGGAGAGGCACTACAGTAAAACTTTAAATCTATTGTTGAACAATGTCTGTTGCTTACTGTTGCCAACTGTGGTTTGGTTGCTCATTGCTCTGTTTTCTTACACTTTGACTTTTTTCTCTGTGATTAGCAACAACATCATCAGGTTGAAAGCCCTTTTTGTGCCCCAATCACAAATGAATAATTTTTTCCCCCCCCAATCAATACACTTTTAAAGAATTCCTGTTGCAGTTATTGTTACTTTTGAAGAAATCCCAAAGGGTTCAAGATGTATATTGGAAACAAAGATGTATCTACCAGTCTTTACACAACGTAAAGACAAAATGAGAGTTTTCTATTTCCTTTTATCTGTAGTATTAGTCCGATTAATTATATTTTTAACTGAAGATGAGCCCTTGGTAGTGTGTTCGAACACAATGCCCTATGGGGAGCAAGGCGAGTGCATGGCAGAGGAGACGTGTCGTGTCATTGATCATTAACAAGCATGTCTTCAATAGAAACTGTGAAGGTCAACTTGTCACTCGTTGGAGGCAAACGACCTAGAGGGGGTGTGAACAATTCCTGTGCGCTTCCTCTGGTCTTCGTAAACTAAACATTATTGGCATTTAGTTTCCCTCTTCAGTATTTATGCATTCATTTACATGCTTGTAATTCCATTCTCTATGTTTGTGTCTTTTTTTTTCTATCACTTACAGTTCAGCAATCCAAATTTTTACACACCACAGTTCTGGTCAAAGCTAAACAATACTCAGCACGTGAAGGTAAATCTCCCCTTTTTTGTGAAACTTTCAAAGAGGCGGCTCCTGTTGGAAGGCACCCAGCCGGACTCCGACCAAGAGATCGCGCTAAATTTAGAGACTTTTATCTTACCATGCAAGGATGTTTTAAGGTTCAGTGTTTGTGTTTTGATCCGATTTTCTTTCTTCTGCTCTGCGCTCGTTCCAAAGCAATAACTCAATAGAACGGAGGAAGAATATTATCTTACCGCACGTGTCTGGAGAATCTAAGCAGAAGGATTTTCTCTAAACAAATAGCGTTTTGACAAGTTTTAAATCCGCCAGCGCTCTCAGAGCGAGGCTGGTTCACTACCAAGATAAGATCCAAATAGGAGATGATCAGAGTGGTGTATGAGTAGTGAGGAGTTATTGATGAAACCAAATAAATAAACAAATAAGAACAAGTAACAACATAGTATTTTCGTTCCTTTGCTCCTCCACAGAAGAAATACAAGGGGACAAGTTCAGCAGTGGTTATTTGATATTCCAGTATCTCGTGACATAATCCAAGTTGTCCGCACAGCCCTCGCATGCATGCTCAGTGAGCATCAATCCAACGGGGACAAACTCAGAATAGACAGGTGGGTTAGTGATTCATGTCGTCCTAAAATTATACGCCCATCTGCTGTCAAATTTAAATATGCAAAGACATTTGAAGTCAAGTGAAAATCCTCTATGCATCTCATAGCGTGGTATGTGCAGTTTGCTCTCATGCTAATCCAGACAGCTAAAGATTGATTGCAGGTACAAAAACTGCAGCAATGACCAGATATTAATATCACTTAATTCACTATACACAAGCTTTATCTTCATTCATGTAATTTATCTCACCTCAACATTGCAAATGCTTGAAGTGGCCCCAACCTAATCTCAATAATTCATGTAATCATTATTGAGCAAAGAATCAAAATAAATGTTCTTTATTCCTCAGGGGAAATTTTTTGTTGTTGTTCAGAACATTTATAATACAAGTGCAAAATTACTTGTAATTTAAATATGACCTAAATATAAAATACATTCAGCACATAAAATGAAATTTGAAAAACAAAACACGTACATGAAACTATGTGACTCACTAGGGATTATACAAACAATATGTCTAGAGTGCAGAACTTTCAGGAAGGATATTGCTGATATTCACACCGTTTAGCCCAATAAATATGCATCACACATAATGGAGGAACGTCATAAATTGTGCTTTATGCACATGCTAGGACTTCATGTTCAACTGTCTTTATTTCTTCCAATTCAGGTCCAGCAGTGGTTATTTGATATTCCAATATCTCATGACACTCAAGTTAGCTTTGCTAACTTGAGTGGCGAGATAAAAGATAATGTCTTATCATAAGCATGAAATGGAAAACAATTTATTCAAGAAGCAAGAAAATGGTTAGTAGTTTTGTTTGGTTCTTTCCCCCCTATCTAAGCACTTACAATTACCACGTCCTGGATGACTGACAACGTACGAGGCAATATGTGTCGCTACATCTGTTTTCATTCACCTTCAACTGTTTAACGTTTGACATCCTGACTGGATAATGTAAATCTGAAATGTACATTTCCTGAGTATAATTTGCGAGCTTGCCATCAGGTTTCGCTTTGCAGTGTTTATATATAATTCATGTAATATATATATATATATATAGACACAAATTACAACAAAAATAACCAAGACTAAGACACTGTAGTAGTGAAACTGCAGACCGAGGGGAACATTGTAGGAAAACAGTTGTCAGTCATCTGGTATTCTGATAAAATTAACTTCAGAAATTTAGGCTTGTTGCTGTTTACTTTGACATAGCAGTGTGCTTCATTAATTACTGAATACTTCCAGTCTCAAAAGACAGATTAGAGTCCTGGTCAGCAAATATTAAACTCTACCTTTGCAAGTTATTTCTTACACTCTGCTGCCTCTTGGCTTCATTCACAAATCAAATGGCTCTGAGGATAAGCCAAAATAATGATTACCTGGCAGCCTGGGAATTCAATTTTATGAGTGTCAGCCTGGCTTGCCTGTTGATAAAATTGTGTGTGCTGCAGTGTTAAATGCATAATTCTGACCCAAAGCACTATTTCCTATGGTTTTGTCTTTTTGTGCCATTGAAACAAAAGACAGAGAAACAATAGCGTGACAGGATTATAAGTGAGTAGAGAAAGTTAAATGTTTCCTCATGTTCCGGTGAATGTTATTCTCATAATAGGAGCCGCTGTTCTCCGAGCACCTGCCATCCTCAGGATGTGAAGAATTATTGCTATAATTTTGTGTGAGAGCAACATTTTTACTAAGGCAACAACAGGATGGAGTTCACAAAACTGTATTGGTGTTTTCAGACTCAGAAGATCTTTGCCCTGGAAGTGACTTTAATCAAAAGTATGTTTTGTTTTTTCATTTTGCTAAATTTAAATTCAGCAACCAGTGTTGGCATACAGAAATGCTCCTTGCTCGGCAGTCTAATTTTAGAAGAAAGATTTTCTCTGTTATTGCTTTCTAATTAGACAAAAACTTTGCATTTTGTGGAGGTAAAAATCTTCTTAGAAACGCGCACCTGGCAGAAAAGATGAAGACAAGTGCAAAAAAAATCTGCAAAAAGTAGAATTACTAATGACATCTACAATTCAACAACAACAAATGTATACATAATATAAAGATAATATATTTTTAAAGAAATGTGGTCAAAATACAGACTTGTATAGCGGAATCTTTTTCCAAATCTATTAAATGTAGAGGAGAAAAATTGGTAACAGCACTATTCAGGGCAAAAGTCTCTCCAAAAGCAAGACTTAAAACCCTTTTTAGATGAAAAGGTTTCTGAGGATGACATCCCTACTGCTCCCAATGTTACAACTGCATGAAAACATCCAAGGTAATGAGAGATGACAACTTCGAATCCATATCCCTGTCCTCTTTAAGAGATTAAACTCTTCCTGTCCTCCTCAAAAAGAGATGAAAGGATTGTGAAGATCTACAGAGAAAAAGGAGAAAGCCTTTTCTCGTGATCCTGTCAGCTGTCAGGGCTCAAAGAAAAGAACTTCTTTGTATTTACCGATCGATAAATCAAATATCGCAGTGATGTGCTGTGCACTCTAATAACAGCCGTCTTTGAAACCTTCCTTTGCCGACTCGGCCGCTCCGTTCCCACAGGTCCCCGCTTGCATTTTATTCCCAGTGGCAGTGAACCTTGGGAGGTCGCACCCCAAAATAACTTCCTGTTTTAACCATCCAACATAAACACAAAAGCTTCAGTCTGCAAAAGCCAAAGATCACCTACGTTCCCTTACCAAATATTTTACAGCAGGCTGGGCTTTCAGAAAGTTTTGATCTGCAACA